CAGCAGCCGAGTACCTTAGCCACTAGACCACCGTGAAGGGGTATGTATGCATGTATGTATGTATGTATGTATGTATGTATGTATGTATGTATGTATGTAGGTATGTATGTATGTATGTATGTATGTATGTATGTATGTATGTATGTATGTATGCGTGTGTGTAACATGAGTGTGTTGTAGATACGTGCATGCGAATACTGTTATAGACTTCTACTCCTAAATGCAAAGCATAAGGGTTTTCTCCCCTATTTGAGCCACTACATTAGTGGCCGTCATAACTTTTATGGCTCTCGAACTGTCCGATAAGAGTTCGTGCTCCGTGGCAAACCGTCTTGCCTTAGAAAAGCTGGTCATCAGCTAGGACGGAAGCTTCTCACAAACGTGTGAAGGGTTCAAATACATTATAGGTGTAAATACAATTTCGGTATAGGTGCACTCAGTAACACTTCATCAGCAGTGTTGGTGCGAGCGAGACTTCGTTAGCATTACTTGTTTTCAAAAAATAAACTAAATTTTGGCAGAAAAAAAAATGAGTTTGCGAAACGATGCGTTTGGGTCGTTACTTCGTGTTATGGTTGCTGGCAATGGTTTGATAAGTTTATAAAGGCCCGGAATACATTTAGCAGCAACTGATTAGTCAATTTATTCAAAGATATTTTGGTACCACTGCTACCGCTTGCATTTGAAGTTCAGTTCAATTCAGCACTCGTATTGTGACATACCAGGAAGAGGAGCTGTGAGAGGGAGAGCAGAACACGTACATAAAAAGCATTTCACGTAGTGAATAGGATTGTGCACTGTGCATGCCGATCTCAGACGCACTTTTCAATGACATTATCAATCTCTCAATTTCAAAGAAAAGCGAAGTATATGGGTATTTGTTCACACAGAAATAGACTGCAGCATCTGCGACCAAGTAGGACTCTGAAGAAGTCTGAACATTGTCGTTTCATTGTGTCCGCACCCCGTTTCTTTCTATAGAGCAGAAGTTCCAACTTGGCGTGTGAACATCTCGGTCCCGTCGGGCGTAGATACGATTCCACTTTGACGACTGCTCATTGAAGGGCATCTTGCACCATTCACTGTCGCCGACGCATGGGTTGGTGATGCCACCCTCGCTACCAAATTGCTACGAAATTGCTACCAATATTTTGAACAGCCAAATTATCTAGAGATTGAACAGCCCCGAAGAAACCACAAATCACTGGGCCATGTATTGATATACAAGCGTCACATCTTCGGAGAAGTTCCCAATGCGGAGCCTCGCTTTTCTTACCGAAAGGACGGACCAGGTGTAGGTGTACAGCCTTAGTCTTAGCAGAAGTTTCACCACCGTCTCCAGGATAAATTCGTGCTCGAGTTTGTCAACTGCCTTTTCTAGGCCTAGCCCAAAAAGAGCCTTTGTATCTCTAGAGTAGCTATCCGTGCCTTGGTGCTCAATGAAATCATTGCATTTTGCTTTCTAAGGCCGCTACGAAACCCAATCATGTTGTGCGCGTAAGTCTCATTTCCGTCCAGATAGTCGTCAAGTCTGTTGAAAATAACGTGCTCTGCTGCCTTACACAAAACGTGAGGAAGATGAGGTGAAGATTCTCGACGGTAGGAAACTTTCCTGGCTTGGCGATCAGTGAGATGTCAGCTAGCGTCCATCTCCAGAGACCTTACTCGTTTTCTATGCTTCTTTGATAAAAACAGCTAGACAGTCTATGAATGTGTCTACAAGGATATTTAGGGCTCTGTACCCAATCTCGTAGGCTTGCCATTGAGCGTTTTAATCGTTCACATAATTTTTGTTATAGTTGCTAATGTGTGGGGATTCCACGGTTACCCAAATTGTCATCCTGTGATTCACACACTTATCATTATTCACCTCGTCAATATGGGGTGATTCTCAACAAGAAATTGTTTTCTGTTGGGGTCCACCAAGAATTTAGCAACGTATTTTCCTCACCAAAATGACGTAAAAAATACGCACGATCAGAAGGCAAAGACAACAAGTTCAGTCAACGAGAGTTGAGACTATGACTGCGGAGTCCCCGGCAACAGATGACAGGCACGCTATCCACTGCGTCACGGCGATATAATTTGTACCCTTTCTAAATTCGCGTTTTAATCCTACCACTGTACCCTGAGAAAGTTCTTAGTAAAATAAACAATTGCATCATGACCATGACATCCGTAATTAATTTCTGCAACGCGTCATTTGTACGTATCAATCACACTGAGCGTGCATTCGATAAGAGAAATCCAATTTTTTCGATGCCTTACCACATCGTCAGGTGACGATCTCACCCCAAGCGAAGGCGCTCATGGCATTCCTGCGCACCGAAGATAGCTCTCTGCGGCTATGTTCGGTATGCAAGGTATCATCATCAGCCTGACTACGTCCACTGCAGGACAAAGGCCTCTCCCGTGTTCCGCAAGTTAACCCGGTCCTGTGCTTGCTGTTGCCAATTTATACCCGCAAACTTCTTGATCTCATCTGCCCACCTAACCTTCTGTCTCCCCCTAACCCGCTTGCCTTCTCTGAGAATCCAGTTAGTTACCCTTAACGACCAGCGGTTGTCCTGTCTATGCGCTACATGCCCGGCCCATGTACATTTTTTCTTCTTTATTTCAGCGATGATATCCTTAATCTCCGTTTGTTCCCTAATCCCCTCTGCTCCCTTCTTGTCTTTTAAGGTTACACCAACCATTTTTCTTTCCATTGCTCGTTGCGTCGTCCTCAATTTAAGCTGAACCCTCTTTGTAAGTCTCCAGGTTTCTGCTCTGTAGCTAAGTACCGGCAAGATACAGCTGTTATATACCTTCCTCTTGAGGGATAGTGGCAATCTACCTGTCATAATTTGAGAGTGCTTGCCAAATGTGTTCCATCCCATTCTTATTCTTCTAGTTACTTCAATCTCGTGGTTCGGCTCCGCGGTTATGACCTGCCCTAAGTAGACATAATCTTTAACAACTTGAAGTGAACTATTACCTATCTCGAAGCGCTGCTCTCTTCCGAGGTTGTTGTACATTACTTTCGTTTTCTGCAGATTCATTTTAAGACCCACCTTTCTGCTCTCCTTGTCTAACTCCGTAATCATGAGTTGCAATTCGTCCCCTGAGTTAGTCAGCAATGCAATGTCATCGGCGAAGCGCAGGTTACTAAGGTACTCTCCATTAACTCTTATCCCTAACTGTTCCCATTCTAGGCTTCTGAAAACCTCCTGTAAGCACGCGATAAAGAGCATTGGAGAGATTGTGTCGCTCTGCCTTACACCCTTCTTGATTGGTATTCTGTTGCTTTCTTTATGAAGCGCTATGGTAGCATTTGATCCCCTGTAGATTTCTTCCAGGATGTTTATATATACTTTGTTTCTAAAATGTTAGAATACTTGGTAAAAGAAAGACTATGTCAATTTTTGACAGTATACAAGTACTTGTGAAAGATCAGTTCGGGTTTCGTCAAGGGAAGTCAACGGAGATGGCACTACTCAGCGTAAAACAAAAAATACTTTCTAATGTAGATAAAAAGCGATTCACTGTTGGACTTTTTTTTAGATTTCAAAAAAGCATTTGATTCTATCAAACACGATATTTTATTTTATAGGCTACCGTTTTATGGCATTTGAGGAGAAGCTTTGAAATTAATCCGCAGTTATTTTTTGCATAGACTGCAGCACACGTGTTATAACGGCTACCCATCACAGTTGAAAGAATTAATATATGACGTACCGTAAAGATCTATTTTAGGTCCAATATTCTTTATATTTATATCAATAATATAATAGCCATCCTAAGAACTCCTGCAATCACTATGTACGCAGATGATACTAGTGTGTTTTTCTCTGGCATGCAACTCGATAAAATTGGCGTTCAAGCTAATGCATGGTTAAAAGAATTCGCATTATGGTTACATATAAATAAACTTAACCTGAATGTTAGTAAAACAAAAGTAATTGTATATAAAGCACGTAACAAAGCATATAATTTTAACTTCAGCTTGCATTTAAAAATAGTGTAATTGAACATGTTTCTTCTATACAAGTATTTAGGTGTCTTTTTTGAAGAACACTTAGATTGGTGCCATCACATTAATAAAATTCATGCCAACATATCAAGGTGCCTCACTGTATTGCCCATGCTTGGAGACCGTGTTCCAAAATCTTTAAAGTGGTAGCTATATTACACCCTAATTCATTCACACCTTCACTACTGCATAGTGATTAGGGGGTCTACATCTAAAACTAATCTTGTTAGGGTAATCATATTGCAGAAGAAAGCAATAAGATATGTAGAAAACCTATCATACCACGATCATACAGGTTCATACTTTTTAGAACATGTGTTCTAAAGGTGAATCAACTATAGGAGTTTCATTCACTCTGTTATGTTTTTACCAAAATTAAGCTTAATACGTCTATATATATAGCTGCAATCTAGTAGCAATGTGCCTTATGAATGAGGATACGACTATTATGGAATTCTACTTGTCCGAACCCCCTATGGAACGCAAGCACTTACATATTTAATTCCCAGTCCTCTCAACAAACATACTCAGGTTATAGAAATCGCGCAGAAATCTTTGTCTGTGAAATCTTTCAAAAAATATATCAAAGCTTACCTTCTATTCTGTCCTCAAGATTGATAGGTTCTGTATATCGCAGTCATACGTTTCTCCGGTTTCGTTTTTTGTAGTGTTATGACTCTTTCTATATTACTGTACAAGTATGTACTCCATTTACTCTGTTCAAAAACAATGTTACGCATGCATTATTAGTGTGTTATATTGTATTTCTTTGGCCATGCTCTAAGTGGTGCTTTCGGGTACTTGGGTCCCGTCAGGCAGAGGACATCTGCCTTTTGCCCTTGTATCCGAGGCATGCATTTTTCTGAAATAAAAACAACAACAGCAACAACAACAACAACAACAACAACAACAACAACAACAACAGCAGCAACAACAACAACAACCTCTACAATGAAGGCATCAACAGTTATTTCTTTTTCAATTGTAGATACCTCATAGAGTCCTCAAGCACAGCAAGATCGAGACGCAACAATGGCTCATATGGCTGCATTATTTTTCCTCAGTGTTATTCCTGTACAACTTGGTATGTATGATAACTCTCTATTTTTATGTTACGTGTGTCAGAGTAAACTGGCATTGTAGTATGTCAATTATATGTTTTGCAGAAATGAGGTTTGTCTACGGGTAACAGTAGCGCGATCCGCCTACGGCTCATTTCACGCAATTTTCATGCAGTTTTATAGTAAAGCGGTAAATTGTGTAAAGCCTGGACTTTGCCAAATTTACACTAATGAAACAACGTAAACGCGTTATCGAAAAATTGTCAGATCCCACGTAATGTGAGAATCGATGATGTGCGAAAACGAATGCGAAAGGTTACTATATGTTACTTTAAAATCAGAACAGCATTACAAGGCAGACATGAATTAAGCCGTACGTAGCACAAATATCATGTTTGCATGCATCATTTGTATTCGCTTCAATCATTGTATTCGCTTCATTTGTATTCACTTCACGTAATACCAAGTTTTGTGCACGTGGAGCTAGCGATGTGGCCGTGAGCACGCTCTGAGCATAGCATGTAGTCAAGTTTTACATGACGCGCATATCATAGATATCACGTTTAGGCGTGCCATTTATCTTTGTCGTCTATACACGTTACGTGATATCAAAGTTGGTATATGTGGAGCTAGACAAACGTCTGTGAACGTGCTGTGAGCGTAGCATGTAGTCATGTTTTAAATGACACGCATGTCATGACTGTCATGCTTAGACGTGTCATTTACGTTCATTGTTCATTCACGTCACGAAATACCAAATTTGGTATGTGTGAAGCCAGCGAAACGACCACGAACGCACTATGAGCGTGGCATGTAGTCATAACACAAAAAGCATCACATGCATGTAATGATTTTTACGCGAGAGTCTGTCACTTATTTTCGCTATGCAGTCATGTCATACTATACCAGTTTTGCAAAATATCACGTGAACAAAACCACCGCAAAAGGAAAAAAACGTTAAATGTATATCATAACATTCTTGAAATACATGTTTCAGTTTTCATGTTATGATTAGTCAATTATGCTCGTCATACAGTAATGTTATGCCATACCAATTCTGGTATGGATAACACTATTGAGACGGCCAAAAAATCTAGAAGTTTGATAGATACGCTCAATGTCGCCGAAGTTCGCCGACAAATCTTCGCAGTTAAAAAAGGCCTCAATCACGCGTAATACTGTGTATCTACAGAATTAATGACTTGATTGGTGCTCTAAAATTTGACTAGGGCGATATTAGTGAAAATCAAGCACATCATTGTTCAATGTATTCCTCTTCAGAAAACCGCTAGATGACACTGCACACCTAATATTTACGTACGGCGACTTTTACAGATTTGGATAAGCTATCGCAAGTTTTATCGCAACGTGAAACATTCACTCAGATATTTAAAATATAACCTCATTTGAACCTGAGCCATTGTTATTCTTAAAGGGCCGCTCACCAGGTTTTACAACTTTGAGCTGACAAGCGCGATGCGTAGACGAGGCGTACGTGATCAGGTATGCCAAAATTTGCAACGCTACGCGCCGCGGAAATGGGTCAAATTCCAAGATGAAAGCTGCTCCCCCTCCCCTCCGCCGGCGCCCGCGTAGAGAATGAGGTCATGACGTAGGCGTAGGAATGGCCCTACGTACATGGCAATGCATTGACGTTGGTCCTCTACGTAGACGACTGTGCTCTGACGTTGTCAACAGTATACCACGTGACATGGCAAAAATTATTTAACACAACATGCGTTGTCTATGTATTTGTTGCTTCAAGAGATGAATAAAACTTGAAATAAATAATGAGACACAATAAAAATTGTGCGCCTTTTATTTATACTTTTTTTCCGTGAAATGCTACGAGATGCGGGGCTAATGTGCCAGCGTTTCGCATGTGTTCTGGTCCCCACGGTCACCGCACTGAGCAGACGACCGCCGTGGAACGCTCCTACGCGTTCGCTCACTCATTGTACTCATCTACTCTACCGCGTCTAAGCTAGCGTTTCCAAGCAATCCCGCAGAAACAGGCAAAAGACCACAAAATAACGCTGGTCAACAAAGCAACGCCGCTCGCATGCACGGGGGCTGGGCTTGTTCGGCTACGTCATGCACACGTCACCTTTGGTCGTATGCCAGAGAGTGTGGGGAAGAGATTTGGCTTGCGAAGGCTACGCGGAGGAGCGGTAAGGGTTTCGAGATCGCCTCCTCTCACTCTCGTTTCGCGGCGCTTCAAAAAACCTGTTTTCTCCGCTCGTAATGAACCGATTCAAAAAAACTTTTGTGGCAAAACGTTCCTCATAGGACACCGGACAACTTCCACTGCCTAACTAAAATTTGGTATGGGGCCTGGTGAGTGGCCCTTCAAGAAATATTCAAAGGAATACAGTTGTGGATGACCGTCACTGTCATTCCTACAACTTTGGGTAGATATAATGTCGTACGTGTCAGAACGAGTCGATCAATGCAGCTCTCAAAGGTGCTTAGTTCGCACGCATGGTAAAAACTTATAACGCATACCCTTACGTTTCAGTGCCGAAACATGGGTCCTTAGGCCTGAGGGCAAGTACGTGCGCGTATTCTTAATGCAGTTTCACAATCACTTTAGTTCGTTTCGCTTCCGAAAATGAAAAGTAAACAGAGAAAGAAAGAAAGTAAAAAACAAAGTAGGAATGAAACAGAAAAAAAAACATTACGAAGAAAGAACTAACAAAAAAGAGGAAGAATTAAAGACAAAGAAGAAAGAAGGAAACACGGAACTGACAAAAGAAGAAAACACGGAAGCAAAGAAAATAAAGAAAGAAACAATGAAGGACAGAAAGGAAGGAAGAAATCAAGGGAGAAATAAAACCAGTAAAAAGAATAAGAAAAGAAAGAAATAAAGACAGAAAAAGGAATAAAACACAAAGAAAGAAATTTTGAAAGAAAGGATGAAATGATTCAGTATGTGAGGCACGCACAAATACTGAGCTTCGAGTGCTACCATTTCGCCTACAAGTCAAGTAGTTCGCAATTTCTTGGACGTATTGCTTGCCTGTGCTAAGGGTGGATAATGTTCAGCTGTTGGAATGGTGTTCAGCTAATGTTCAGATGCGGCACCTCTCAACGCAACTTACAGCTAATGCTGCTGCCACACCTCGAGTTGTGTGCCACAAAAAAAGTGCGATACACTCCACTCAAGTCACCAAAAGCACGACCAACTCGGGCCATCCAGAGGGCTCAAGACAAGGCCGTCGAGCTTAAACTCCCTGTCCCGTCATAGGAGCTACCCGCAGACGAGGCTCTTTAGAGGTCATAACCTCTTCAGTCTCAAATAAAATTATTCCGTCAGTCTCCCCGAAGTCACTCCTGATGAGTGGGGGAAGCTCTGAGTATCGTTTCAGTGACTAACTATAAGTTGACCGAGAATTATATATTGTGGAGATGGGTTTGCTAAAAGCTTACTATACGAAGCGACTCGAGGGGACATGAAGTACTCCACTGCCGTTGCGCACAAAGACTCTAGGACCAGGTTCTTCAACTCTCCAAGACGATGCAGAGATGGCCCTCGAGGCAGGTTGTCAACAAAACATATCAATCAAACGGGTTTGTTTACTTAAGATACAGCACCGTGCGACATTCTCAGGCTTGTTGGCAGGCCTAAATTTGCGCAAGACTGAACAAGTGTGCGCTTTCCAGCAAGCGCTAGGGCTATCACATCAAGGGCAGCAGCCGAGCGTACTTACGAGAGGCGGCCCTGTAGAACAGTGCGTCCACCTTTCGTGCAGGTCTGTTGTGCATGTGTATGAAAGAGACTGTCCGAGGCGAAGTAGCAAGGTCAGCTCAGCCGCAAGGTCAGCCCCATGTCCGCAAGGCTGGCCACGGGGCCCATGTTCAGCAGGGTGGTGCCATCTCCGAGGGCCAGAACAATTGAAGGATGCCGCCAAACACTGACAGTGAGATTGTAACTTCTGCTGACAAAATCTAAGGTCTATCAAGGTCGCATGACAGTTTCATCAGAAATTTCACCACACCAAGCAGAAGCCACTGAGACGAAAGGAGTCTGCCGCCTAATGAAACCAGGCAAGACTGCTAAACAGGTGCAAACAGCTCGCATGAAGAGAGGCGGACTGGATAATTTGCAGCTGCCAACGCGCTAGGCGTAGCTGAAAAGTGCGCGCCACAGCCAACCACCAAAAGTCATTGGGACGAGAGATAGAGTGATGACAGGCAGCCAGCAGCGCAAGCTGAAGTGGCCACGTTTGGGCCTGCTGGAGGGCACGCTCGATTGCCAAAGCTTGGGTGGGTGCATCAGCTGCGCGTAAACGGCCGCCAATGCGGCCAGGTCGATGGGGTGGGTTGGTGGTGTCAGCAGGCACAATATGGAAAACAGACGACATCGAAAGAGACCAATGGACATCAGGCCACCGCTCAAGAACAGGCTAGCGGCACGTTAAAGTCAGGTGCTCGGAGATGACTGGGTAACAAAGAATTGGACAAAGAAACCTCCAGCACACCCGGCTTGCAGCATATAGTGCGTACCTGTCAGTGCTACCAAACAAAAGGATGATTGCAAGAGGAATTACGGCTTCGTTTGACGACACATTAGAGCGTATTTTTGGCCCAAAGGGCCTTCCACTACTTCCAGGTGTGTGTCCATGCACCATAGTGGTTAGTTTTCTTAACTAACAACGCTTGCAATAAAGCCCAGCTACCTGCTAATGAGAGAAAGGATGTTTAAGTGCGTTTCCGCAGGTTGTACCAGCGGCGTGACTTGGGACCAGCCTTTGCACTGTTTTCTTGCAGTTCGCTGAATGTTACAAACACGATCTTCCTCATCAAGAGGAAGGTTCAGTCACATTGCCCTGGACATGAATCCATCCTGCGCTAAGTGCTATGAATAGTACTGCTTGTTAGCTCACATGCGTTGGCAGTGTTTGGCGCTATAAAACGCCTATTTCCATAAATAGAAAAACCGGAAGGAAGCCCTGAGAAACGGCAATCTCCATAAAGAACTAACGGCTGTTCAATGGGCCCACAAACGGCCGTAGCACCATGG